GTATATTTGGAATTGGAAACTCCTTGGGCAAGTTTGTTCCCTATAACAGTATCAAATCCATCGTGTGTGTTAATTTAATGCAAAAACCAAGTCAGACAATAAATGTGTCAAAACCAACTTGAATAATTGTTTGTTCTCAAGGACTGGTGTAGTAAAGCAGCAAAACCCCCAGCTAATGATGACTGGCATACTGCAGCAGAAATTTGAGGCATGCTCTTAGTTCCCTTCTCTGGCAGTAATAGTTCTTACTGCTTGGATTAGTGCTGGAATTATATAATCATATTCCTTCATGTTACTTCTCTGACAAAATTGTGAGAATGGGCTGGGGAAGTAGATTAAGATGAAACAAATGGGAGTGGACTTAGTAGCTGATTTTTTGGCATCATATGGAGAAATGTAGCTGATTTATTAGATGTTTATGCTGACCTTAACTACTAGAGAAGGAAATGTTGCTATGCAGATAGCACCAAAATTTGTTCATAAAAGCATCTGTGCTTGATTGTGACTTTAAAGCACTGAACTCCGAGTTTATCATCTCAGTAGTTCTGGCTCCAAAACGTCTGGTCTGTTCAGCTTTTCTGAGTGATGAGCTTATCTGTTGTGGGGTTAGAACACAGAGGTGCTCACTCTGAAGGATGTTGCTGTGCCAGGCAGTGGAAGCTTGATGCATGTGGCAACTGCTCTCTGGTGTGTGCTTTAGGGTGGAATATTCTTGCGTGGACAATTCATTGGTGATCCTGTCCTTGGTTGTGTTTAATTTGGATATCCCACTTCTGCTTGAGTTTCATCCCATTACCAGTTGTTGTCTATGGGCATTTAAGTTGCTTCCTTTCCTTCATTAATGTAAATTTGTGTTCCTGTCTGTCCTTATTCAAGTAAATCGATCAATTGCTCTAAAGAATTACAAAATGAAGATATTGTAGTGATTTGTAGAAAAGGAATGCAAGGTAAAAGTTAGAGAGAAATCAAATTAAGTCACATTAGTTATAAGATAATGAGACGTGCTTCTTCCTACTAACGGTTAGATGTTAATGAATTATTTGAACACTGCACTAAAATGTTTATATGCCATGGTACCGGAAAACAAGATTCTGCTATGGAGTGTATCAATATGTGCTCTGATACATCAAACTGAGTCATAAGATAGGCTAAACAGCAGCTGTGTAACAGTAAGTCATACTCTGAGGGAACTGTGGCTCAATTCCACCAAGTATTATTTAAGCTAAATAATTGTTGCTCACGCAGTAATTTCCATAAAGTCTCCAACAAAACCAGAACTCAGCTTGGGCTTTCTCTGTGTGTGTGGTACCCTGCAGCTGAATCTTGTTGTGAAACTGCAATTTCAGTGGCTCTCCCGCTGGAGGAAATTAGTATGGGATTAGGAGTCAAGATTGGCTTGGGTTTTGGAATTCACAGTTCTTCAGCTGAAGAGAAGTTACCCTTCAGCTGAGGCCAAAGCTGGTTTTGCAGTCTGACCCAAGTCCTGCACCTCTTATTTTCAAGTTTTCAGTGGTTCTTATTAAAATTTTGACAGAGGTACATAATCTCTGTAAAATAGGGTAATGAGTAACAAATTATGGTTTGATTCCCCTTTTTATCAGCATTACAACACAAAATATTTGTTGTTTGACATTAAGTAATATGAAGATTTTGTATAAATGCTCTTGCTTCTCTCTCTTTCCATGCTCTTACTATTTTTTGTGCAATTGTTTTAAAACAATAACCACGGTTTTCCTCCAGAGGAGACTTTGGTTGATTGGATAAAAAATGCAGGACTGAATAACCATGAGTAGGAGTCTCTTACGTACACTGGCACTCTAGAAGCACAGTGTGCCCTGTCTCTACCCCATGATGTTTGCACATAAAGTAACAGGGCCTAAATCCAAAAGTATGAAAATACAGACATCTGGGAAAAGAAGCTAAGAAGTATTAATGTTATTTATTATTTATACAAAAATTTATAAACAAACTATATGTGAGGGGTATCACCCTCAATGATGGCCAAGAGCAGTGACAGGGATAGAGCCATATTCATGGTGAGGTGGTTGATCACATATTTTTTGAGTGTTTTCTGACTCGTATTTTGAATGTTAGCATTTCAAATGCACTAAGTCAGCATGGTAAAAATGAGAAGCTGTGGTGCCACTGACATATTTCTGTGACTC